CTATCAGACTAGCCGAGAGCCCTAGCTCGACTTGTTGGTGAGCTCCTATAAGGTCATCATCCACCTGGTGATTTTTCGACCTTTGGTACCCTTGATGTCCAACCGACCTCTGCCTAAATGTATTTTGAATTTTTTTGTGAAAAAAAATAAATCCTAAAGATAATTTTTAGGCAAGATAATTTTATATTGTAAATTATATCTCATATTAATCTCACTTCTTTAATTTATAATTATTTAATATTATTTATCTACTCTTTAATTTATAATTATTATTTAATATAATTTACTCGTGCATCGAACAGCTACGCACTAGTCTATTGTAAGGCTACGCACTAATCTATTGTAAAATGAGGTTCCGCAATCTTAATTTTAGAATATAAATTTATATTATTAATTTCGATATGCAAATATGTTTTAACTATGTACGACAACAACACGTTTACTATAGCATGATTTTCTACAATCTAAATTCCAAATTTTATAATTAGCGATTTACATCACTATTCAAATCGTAATTAGTACATCGTGATATTTACATCTTGTTTCTCCTTTTTGTTATAAAATAAATTTAAATTAAATGAAAGTAATTAATGATAAAATTATATTTTTTCACACTTAAAAATTGTATAAGCACAAAAAAGTGGGAAAATTGTAATATAGGCCCAAAATGGTAATTGTGATAAAAGAAAAAGAAAAATGATATAAAGAAAAATTTCGTGATATAAGCACAAAATGATGAAGAAAAATATTTATGCTATCATATTGTAAAGGTTGGAATAAGTTAAATAACCACTATTTAAATACCTAATAACTGGTAGACAAAATTATAAATCAGTCAGAAATAATTAATTTATGAAATTTATTAATTTAATATTAACATGATGTTTATTTTTATATAATTATTTTTAATATTGTTATCTCGGGTATCATAATAATTTGGAGTGACAAAGATCAAACAATTTGGAGGGAAAATAAATTACTTTATAAAATCCATACTTTCAGATCTTCACCAATACACATACTCTCTCAACTCTGCAATATTTTTCATTCAAACCCTAGCACAAGTTAATAAAGGGTCCACATATAAGATACGAAAATTAGCCTAACAAACTTAGAAAAGGGCAAGTGAATGGTGGTGTCCTGGCCCGGTTGGTTGCCGGTTTCTGAGTCTGCGGCGGGTGGTTGTGGGTTGAAGGACTCCGGGCGTAGGTGGGATGTCCGTTTGGATGGGGGTTGGGTCGGTGGTGTCGGACCTAGTTGGTCGTTCTCTTGAAGTTTCTATATCGGGTACCTAGCCGTTTCCCTATTCGTATGGATGGACGTCGGTTGGTGTCGCTACCGTTTCGTTTGGTTAGGCTTCCTGTTGCGAGAAGGGTCGTAGTAGTTGTAGTTGTCTTTGTGCTCTTGTGTTTAGGTTGTATTTTATTTTTTATTTTCTATCATGTTGGGAGTGCGTTTGGTGTATTCTTCACTCGCAGGAGCTTTTCTTTCTTCTCCTTTTGGGTATTTTTTAGTGTTTCGTGTTGTTTTTAGGTTGGTTCTAAACTACCGTATGACATCTGTCTGTGTAGTCCTCCCAACTAGGTTCAACGATTTAGTTGTCTTATTCGGCCGTTTGCCTATTTATTCGGCCGAGTGGCTGTTTTTAGTGTTGTCGGTTTTTATGAATATACGTGATTCCTATCGTTTCGAAAAAAAAAAAAAATGGTGGTGATCTGATGGGGTAGTTTACAGAAAGGCAATGGACCAACAATCCCAATACTGTACTTGAAAAAAAAAATATTTAAAACGGGTCTGTTTCCACTCACATGCAAATCCATCCAAATGGCCTTATCTTTTTCAAAGATATCACTTTCACACTTCCCATATCACTCACTCCACTTTAAAAAAAACAAGGCCAAAAATATACTAATAAAGCGTATGGTGTAAAGTACAGCCTTTTTCCCATTGTTTGGTTGCCCACATTATTTAATAAATTGTGTGGTGCCTTAATAACAATAATTCCTTCTATGGCAAAACCAGAAAGCTCCACTAACCTAAATGAGTAGACTAATAAAAGCACTTGAAAAATTAAGTAATATGGAGGGGTTGGTGTAATTTGAAAAAAAATAAAAAAAATAAAAAAAAAAACAAAAATAAAT